CTCCTCCCCTCCCCCCCCCCCCCCACACACCCACACCAGGGAACCTGAGTTTCTTGAACGTAGAAACGGTCCCTCGCGCGCGGGTTGTTTAGTCGAAGGAGTTCTGTATGGTGCTGTAGACGGTTGTGACGGTGCCAAACGAGACCGCCGCGCAGCCACCTATCAAGAGCAAATAGGTTCCCACAAAGCTTGCCAAGCCCACCGACCCCCGTGTGAACTTTCCACTGTACATAAAATACAGCGCGGGCAACACCATCCCAAGGATCCCACCGCAGAGGGATCCCGACAGGCCCATCACCGTGTTAATTTTAGGGAAGAACAGCCCGCAGAGAAGCGCGAGCGTGGAAGGGCACATCACGATCAAGATGTGCTTCGGGTACGACACCACCATCGGATCGAGGCGCAAAAAGTGATAGATGGCGTTTCGAAACGGAATCATGTGGAGGACGAAGCCGATGCAAATCTTAATTACCAGCCCCACGTACGCCACGGCGACGCTGGGGTCGTGGACGGGGTCGTAAAGCTCCAGGACGGAGCCCGTAACGCCGCTGCCGAAGTCCAGGTAGCCAAAGACCCCGGCGAAGACGTAGAGAATCGTGCAAAAACCGACGGAAAGGGCCGAATAGAGGGTGAAGTTCGACACCGTCGGGGCGGCCGTCTCGTGGAAGACCTCAAACGCGTTGATCTGGCAAAGAAACGCGAAGAGAAAGACCCCGAGCCCCTCCAACGCGGCGTTCCCGGTGCGCACGAAGGCGATCTCCTCGCGGATGGTGGGATCCCGCAGGCCGTGCGTGGCGGCGTGGACGACCATGACGCCAACAAAGTACACAATCACCATCACCCCGAGAAGGGAAACGTAGCGCAGGGAGTTAATCCGCTTTGGAATCGTCAACGGCACCATAAAGAGCAGCCAAAGCAACGCCGTCATCGTGCGATTCCCGGCGTGGCTGGCGAGCCATGTCGGGGACCCTGGACGCGTCAAAATCGGCCGCATCAGCGTCTGCACCGCGATCACGTACGAAACGGATCCTCCAAAACAAAGCAAAATAATCAACACCGCCACGAGATGAGCGGCGGAGGGGCCGAGCAGCCGCGCCGCCGTCTCGGCGTAGCTTCGCGCGCCCGTCCGCAGCATCACCCGCGCGAGCAGCCGCATCGCGAAAACCGTCGCGACCGCGACGAGCGCGAGGTGCAGCAGCGCCATGACGACGCCGCTGAGTTTAAACGCAGCGGGAATCGCCACCACCCCCGCCCCGAGGATCGCGGAGACGAGGTTGAGGCAGGAGGCCGCGAGGCCGCCAGGGGGGACCACCGTGGCGTACGCCTGCGCGAGTCGTCCCCATCCACGGCGGGAAACCGGCGCGACGGCGGCGGGCTCGCCGTCCTTCCCGCTGCCGGTGTCGATCGAGGCGAGATTCACGCGCAGCCGCTCGTCGTACGCGGCGGGTTTGGCGTCGTCGAGGCTGGAAAGCGGGGGGGGAGGGGCTTCCCCGCGGAGGTCCTCCCGCGCAGAGGGAGAGGAAGGGCCCATATGCAAATGGGGAATCGCTTTGGAAGCGTAGAAAGGGGATATGGGTGAAAAAATCCTAATCCTTTAGGGGAGGGGGAGGGTTTCACCCACCACGACGCGAATCGTAGAACAAAAGGAGAGAGGAGGGGGGGATTTACGCAGGAAAAGAGTCGCTACATTCTGAGGAGTCAATGATCGGAAGGAAAGGGAAGAACCCTGCCCTCGCTCACGGATTTGGAATGAGGAAATGAACAGAAGCCGAATATAGAAGTATTTCGTTTGGATGTTCATTGACCAAGCTTCGCTACTGAAGTATAAATCATAAAACAAAAACCATCAATTAGTTGGATCCATTCTAGCTTGGGTGCATCGATGAACACACATATCCCTAGACCGTAATCGTGGTGCCGATGCTATATTAATAGAAACACTCATTAATAACACCAGCACAACGTCATTCTTCCAGACGCGGTACGCTCCCGCCAACGAAACTTCAGGCTGGAGTCTCATCCCCGTAAATCATTCCCAGAACAGATTACACCGACCGAGGTGAAAATAAATCAGGAATGGAAGGGTCCATAGGGGGTGTGATTGAGGCTTCCTCCCAGTGCATGCTCTACCCATAAAAGACCGCAGAGGCCCCACTGTCAGGTGTGGGCGAGTGCGAACAGAAATAGAAAATGGAAGCCACCTCATTTACTTAAAATGGCTGTCGTTGATGGTGCCCATATTTCCACAGAAGGACGACATCTGTGGGAGGGTAATGTTTGTAGATGAGTAGGTGAATTTATGCGACGGAACATGGGCCCATGAAAAGATATTCCGAAAGAATGGGATATCACGTAGAAATAATAACAATGATAATAATAATAATAATAATGCGTACATACCAGATGGCAGCAGGGAGCCATCGCAAGCCCCTGTGGGGTGGCGAGCTCCAAGGGCGTGCAACTCATCTCGGTATTCATATCGCAAACTAGCAGATGTGCTGGATGAAGAGACCGGTGATGAGTTTAGAAAACTCAACGTAGGCCTTGTCGTTTATCGTAGGATTGGTTAACGGTATTGCCCGCACTGAGATGTGCTTCTGACAAAGACAAACCATCACAGGAAAATGATGGTATGGATACAAATTTAGAACCCACGAGGAATCGAAAGCACTTAGTGCACCTCAAAAAGAAGCTTGATAGTTGAGGGTGGGTTGATGATATCGTACAGATCGAAGATGAAAGATTTCCCTTCACACGCTTGGATCCCACAGCATTTGCTGATTCCACATGGGCTTCATGTGGAATAGTAATAGGAAAGCAACCGAAGCGCAGATAAACTAGCAAGCGCACTGTACACACATAAATAAATAAAGATATAGTTCGATACTTTTTTCAAGATGAAGCAGTCGCTTGTGTAGAATGGACCTTCGGCAGAGCATCCTCCATGTGGGGGGGACGGGAAGGAAACTGAAGGGGATTTGATCGTTATTGGTGAATTCATACGATCATTACTTGAAAGTAACCAATGATAGGAGATGCAAAGAAGAGATCAAAGAAGAGATTGGGTACTCCAAACCGAATAACACGCACCTACTCATCAAAGAGGATGCAAGATCGGCAGTAATATAAATATATAGGAGGGAGACTATAACAAAAGGAATGGCCCTACCATCCAGGGCATTCACACTAAAGATCACGGGATCCTAATAACTCCTGAATCAGTTCGGTTTGGGGGGTGTAATTCGCTTGGGAATATTCTATCGCCTTGATTGACAAGTTAGGCGCCTTATATGACGATATCGGGGGTTGGCGATGCACCCCACGATACACGCGTGGCTTCCCCACCGACATCATCAGCAGCAACATCCCACACACCACCGCCAACACCAGCGAAAACAACAAAACCTGCCGTAGAAAAACCCATAACGGCATGAGCAGGGTTTGCCAGACCAACAACCCGCATGGGATGTGGCGAAGCAGGCGAGAAACGGAGCCCTCAGCGGCCGCATAGACCTCGTGGATTTTGCTCATCTCCCGCATATTCCTTCGCGATTTCCCCACACCCTCGGAGAGGAGGGCCTCACTCGTGGAAAGGGCGTGCGCTTCGCGATCCATCAAATCCCGCACCTGCAGGGCGCCGTGCTTCACCTGCTGGATCGTCGTGCGGATATCCCGCATCACCACATCCGCCGGGGATTCCACCGCGGTGGAAAGAATTTTCAGTGGGGCGTTCGGGGTTGAAATCGACTTTGCGCGGTCGGGAAGGATCGATTCGGAGCGGGAAGCCCCCTCGCCGAGCTGGGAATCCACTCGTTTCGTAACGGGAGAAACGCGCACGCGAGGAGGAGCCGCCGCCACGGCGTAGCGAACCTCAAAGGAATCCCCCAAAACGTAATACCGCCGCCGGGTTGGAAAGGCGGAAACGATTTCCTCGTGCATTAACGGCACCTCTCCCACGCAACGCGTAGGGAGTGGAGAGCCGCATGAATGAAGCCGCTCCTCGAGAAGAACCTCCGCGCGCGCAACGGAGGTGAGAAGACCTCGATACGCGTCTTCCAGACGCCCTGGAGGGGAGCTTGGTGGTGGATTTTCGAGATTCGCCGCGTCGGAGGCGGGGAAAACGCGAGGATCGCCAGCACGCAACGCCTCCGCGCGTTGGATCTGCGCGAGGAGGCGTTTTGCCGCTCGCAGGAGGGCCCCCAGTCGCCGGAGATGCATGGCGGAGGGCGGGGAGGGCCCTCTCTTCTCCGCGAGGGCGAGGGGGATGGATCGGGAAAGTCGTAGGGCAAGGCGATGAATCGCACCTTCCAAACGCGCGAGTGTCAATGCGGAGGGCATCAGGGGGTCGATATCCGACATGGGAAAAGACGCACGCAGAGAAAAATATAAAACGAAAAACAACAAGAAAAGTTGAGGGGTGCTAAAAATATTAGGGTAGGAGGGGATATGCCTTCTATTGTTATTTTGTCTGACGTACTGCCCACCCACCGCTGCCGGGGGAGGGAGGGGAAACTTTAGAAAAAGAACGCGGCTACCAAAGAAAGGAAAGAGAAAAAACGATGGAAAGGGAACCAAAAGGGAGGTGTGGGGTGGGGTTGGAAATGATCAAAAGGGATAATTCGTCATACGAACCCCATGAAGCAGACTCCTTTACAGGCATGATGGGGTGGTTTTTTCCGCGAGATCCTTCCTGATCCTCGGTCCCACCCTTTTTTATTTCCATCCAGATTATCCCACGAAGGCACTCCAAATTCTCTCACAGGATCTTTAACAGAGATGATTGCGCCTCATCGGATCCCTTTCCTCGACAAACCCTCAAAACTGCCAGGTGAGGCCGCATCGCATGTGGTGAAACCGCTCCACCGGGGAAACGCGGATGAAAGTCGCCCCCCCACGCTCCATCCCACTCCGCATCCTCCCCCCCCCTTCGCGAAACTCCACCAGCCAATTAAGCGAACACTCAAATGTGCGAGGAAGAACGCGATTGAAGGCGTCCACGGTCACCCGAGGGCTGCGGGAGACGAAGGAAACCCCCACCGACGCGCGTGGAGGGCAAAAGAGGGAATCGGCAACGCAGGCATTCGCGAAGAGCTTCATATCCACCCCACGAGCTTGTGAAGGGGTGGTGGTGGTGGTATCACTTTTGCCGTTGGTTTCGTTCATTTTTATTTGCTTCCCACGTGTGAGGCTCACCCGGCGGGTGAGTTCACACGTGAGGAGGCCGAACCACCGCCGCACCTCGCGAAGCTCGCCGTAGTCGTAGGAAAACCCGCGAAGCAGCGAGAGATCGAGCGAGGGGGCCTGCGTTGCCCAAAAGTGCGCATGCGGGGCGAGAGCGATTGAACGGAGGTTTTCCCCCTTTTCCTCGCGAAATGCACGCGTGGGAGAGGACAATCCCGTCGAGGAGGAAAAAGGAGAAGAAAAGGGCATCACCGCGGCGGAAATCCCGCGAAGTTCGAGGGTCGTTCGCGATGAGAGCCGCCACCCCACCCACCCCTCCCCTGTGAACCTCCCGAAGAGGGAAACCGCGCGATCGCCGGGGCTGAACTCCACCCCCGACCCCACCACGCCGCGCAGGCGATACCCCCCTCCCTTTCCTCTTTCTTCGTCCGTTTCCTTTTCTTTTCCCGTTCGAAAAGGCTGCGCGGCGCTATCGTAGCGGAGGGAAGTGGCGGCGGAAAGAATCGACCCGCCCCCCCCGAGGAGGCGAAACACCTCCCCCTCCACCACGCGCCGCGGATCGCGAAGATGCCAGCCGACGCGGAGGCCGTCCGCACGAAACGACCACCGCTGAATTTTTTCCACCCCTTGCGTGCAATTATGCGGCGTAATCCTATGAGAAGTAATATGGTCAGGATTAATACTGTGAGGAGAGAGATTGCCATTCGTGATATTGTTATTCAAGCTGTTGTTATTAGTCGGATGACGTTGAGTGGGATTATTCGGAGAGATGCTGCTCGTGGGATTGCCATTCGTCGAATCGTGATTCCTGGGGATCCCACTCGTCAGATGGTTATTGGTAGGATTGGGATTCCCGAGGTGGGTATGGGCAGGGTGCATCCTCACGTAGCGACGCGCCACCCGCTGCGCATTCCAAAAAGGCTCCACCTCGATCACGGGCAGCCGTCGCGGCGCGAAGTTCGCACTCCCGTGAAGCCCTCCCCCGCCCTCTTCCCGGCGAAAATCGAGGCTGCCGCGGAGGAAAAACGACCGCCCCTTCGCGGAAGCAACGCGATCCTCGCCGTGCGGGAAAATTAAAAATCGAATTTGATCCGCCAGGGTGGGGGCCGTGAGATAACCCCCAAAGAACGGCCACACACTTTCCCGCCGCCCTTCAGGGGGGTGATTTTTATCCGGATGATGATCCTGATGATTAGGGTTGGGGTGGGGAGGCTCCTTTTCGTTCGACGAGGCATCCAGCGAGGGAACGGACGTGGAAACCATCGCACGCGATTCCAAAGTCCGCCGACGCGCCGCTTCCGCAAAGACGTGTCGACTCCACTCCGCCTTCCATTTCTCCTCCCCTCCCTCTTCTTCTTCTTTGAAGGCGTTCAACGCGCCATTTCCTGTTCGCGATGCCGCATTGCGATCCGACAGGGTAATGTTAAGACTCATTCGCGTTGAGTTTTGATTTGCTTGTCGTTCGGGGTGGTCCTCGGTATTTTCATGGAAACCCACGGTGGTGGTGGTGTTAATCTCGCGAAAAGGCGCCTCATTCGAGAAGTTCGTTCGCAGCGGGCGGTGAGGATGTGACGGAAACGCGAAGCGATCCCAGCGCAGCGCGCTGCACGCGCGCACGTCCTTTTCAAAATCCTCGCGAAACCGCCGCGTCGGGTGGCCATCGTCGGCGTGATACGTTTTATATTTCGACCTCAGCCACTCCAAACACGCGTCGTCGTCGTGAAATCGCTCCGATTGCGCGTGAATTTCGATCGCCAAGCCATCAGGGCCTCCATCCACGCTGTGCGGCATCCCAAGCCTAGCGAAATAGACCAGAAAAAAAGGAAAGAATAATAATCATGATAATCATAAAAGAAAGCTACAGAGGGTCCCATCTCCTCCCCTCCCCCCCAGGCATTACCACCATGTATCATAAAAGCGCAGGATGAAACGCTGCCATAGAAGTTCTGCGCAAGAAAACGGGAAAAAAAAGTCTACTCATTGTTTTCTTTAAAATCACACACCCGCTTCAACCAGCCTATCGCGCACCCCCCCCCTTCCCCTTCCTTTTTCTTTGTTTCTCGCTAGTTCCCTCCCTTTCCGGTGGGGTCTTCGTTGCTTGTCTGTTTGCCCGTTTGCTCGATTTCGTCGTCGTCGTCGGGGGGAGGCCTCCGCCCGATCTCCGCCTCCGGGACGCCGAGGCGCTGCGCCTTGGTCGCGATGAACGCCCAAATCTTCTCGGAGCGTCGAATCCGGGGGAGGGGGGAGCGGCGAAGGAGCTCCGCGAGCTCGACGAGCCCCTCCCGCGTGAGCAGCACCTCCTCCGGTGGTTTCACCGCGAGCGTGAGCTGAGGCGTGCTC